TTCAACAATGCATTACTATTCTATAATTTCCAGCCCCCACTCAGATTTCCCTGTTTGTCTTTCTACTGTTGTTTGAATCAGGATGTAAACAAGGCCCACAAATTGCAGTTGTATCTCATTTTATCTATTATATTTTCCCTCACTTAAAAAATATCATTTATTAGTTGAAGAAATCAGATCATTTGTCACATAGTTTTTCCCCACAGTTTGGATTTGGTCGATTACAATCTTATGGTGTCATTTTACATGGTCCTCTGTCCCTAGTAATTCTTATAAACTAGTTTTATCTAGAAGATTGATCAGATTCGGGTATCATCTTTCTTGCAGAAATACTTCATTAGGTGATGATGTGTCCTTCCTTTTATAGCATATCCAGAGGCAAATTCTTTTTTCCTTTTTTTTTGTCCTTACCCGAGGACATTTTTCCATTTTTTTTGTTCATACAGAGTAGGAAGGAGAGAGTGGTAGAGAGAGAGAGAACCATCAACGTGAAAGGGACACATCGAGTGGCTGCCTCCCACAGAACCCAACCGGGCCAGGGACAAACCGCAACCAAGGTATGTGCCCTTAACGGGAACCAAACCCGGTGTCTCTGGACCTCAGGCCAACGCTCCAGCCGCTGAGCCAAACCAGCCAGGGCTTTTTTCCCTTTTAATGATGTTAAGATAGATCAGTGAGTCTATGTATCATGAGCTCAATCTACCCTTTATGAGGTTCTCCACCACATTTCACCTTAATGGTGTGAGCAACCCTTGACATTTACCTAAATACATTATTTCATTAGGGATTGTAAAGTGGCGATTTTCTAACTTTATCTTTAATTCTGCATTTATTAGTTTTTTTGAAGAACTTTTCCTTATCAACTCTTTAGTGAATCTTAAAAATAGACTTTCAGGCCCTGGCCGGTTTGGCCCAGCGGTTAGGGCGTTGGCCTGCAGACCAGAGAGTCCTGGGTTCGGTTCCCGCTAAGGGCACATACCTCGGTTGCAGTTTGTCCCCTCGATGTTTCTCTCTCTCTCTTCCTCCCTCTCTTTCTCCTGCTTTATCTGAAGATAACAATGCAAAAAAAAAAAAAAAGATTTCCAGGAAAAGCAGGATGAATGCTTAATTCTTTCATTTATCAAGGTTAAGATTAACTTTACTTTTACTAAGTTTTGGAGGGAGATGAGGAAATTTTTTAAAGAACTTGTGTATTTGTATACAGTTGAAGTGTTTCAATCTATTGCAGTTATTATTTGATGAGTAGAAGCCCCTTTGCAAGTTGGCTCCTGAATAGCACTTTATAATTTTCAAGATACTTAACATACATTTGTCTTTAAATCTCACCAACAGCTCTGTGAAGGTAGGTGTTATCACCCAGAACATATGGCTTGAACCAGAACATGTCGTCTTGTACTTCCATGAAATATAATAATGGCTGAAAGAATCAGAGTGTTAAAGGAAGTTGGATTCTTTTTCTTTTTTTTTTTTTTTTCTGATTTTGAGATTAAACAGCAGATGCCTTTAACCAGTGGGAATATGATATAAAGCAATATACACGTTAGAAGGCATTACTTGTAGCAAACACTGTTGAGAATAATGTTATGCTGATAATACTATAACTTAGCAAATAGCCTGTCTCAACTTTGTTTGTGAAGCATTTCAATTTTGATTACTCTGTGTGGGATCTACTGCTCAGATGTATGTCATTTTATGGTCTGCTCATGTCTGGGGAGCTGGCATTACACGCTGCCTAGTGTTTTTAATTCAGAACTTCTTCTAAAGGAAACCTTAGCCTCTTATGTGCAAACCCTAGTTTTAATAGCATAAGCTATTTCTTTCTTACATAGCTTTGTGGGCATAGTAATAAAACAAATACCACAAAAATCACTGATGAGATGAAAATCGAGCTCCCTGCTTCTGTGCGGCCATGTAGGTAAAACAGTAATTGGCTCTGATAATAACTTTTGTTCTTATAAACCAAAGTCTAAATGAGAGTCACATTTGATATATCTGAATGTAATGACTATCAAAAGGAAAGAATATAAAGTTTGCATTATTTAGTGACTCAAGATAGATTAAATAAAATTGCCGTCTTTTCTTGACCAATTTAAGAAAAGTTTCTGATATTATTTCTGATATTTATCTTGCTGTTGGTAAAAAATGATCATCTTCCAGAGCATGCTTTCCTGCTTAATGGATTGATTAATTTTGGTTTTGTTTTTAAATCTATAATTGTTTTTCTTGGAAAATCTCATTACTTGTTCTGATAACACAGCGTATGCTTGAAGTATTTTCCTATACATCTCTGTAGATGTAATCTGTAAAATTGTGAGACAAATTTAGATTATGAATGTATTTGGTAGTGATTTTCAGGGAAACCATTTGATTTAATATTATTTCAATGTAGACTTCTTCATATGTTTTTTAAAGGAAAATTAAATAATGTGTGCTGCATATTAGTTTGGTATACATATACTTTGGTGCCAAAATAGTAAATATTATAATACTAATAATTTTAAAGGATGTTCCCCATGGTTTTAGAAGCCAACTAGCAAAGAATCAGTATTACAGCCTGTCACTTCTGTTGGGTTTCTGTTGATATTTTGATTTCTCACCAGAAATATCTGTGCCAGGGCCACAGAAATGTAAAAAATGGGCAAAAAACAACTGATTTTAATGCCAGTTTTGACAATAATTTGGTATTTGATTGTTTCTTTCCTACACCAGTCCTATAGGCACAGGAAGTTGATGGAGCACAATAAAACTAAGAAAACTGCTGTGGTCCACCAGGCAATGATCCGAGAATTAAAAAGTTCTAACAATGCTTAGACATGATAGATGAAGCTATTACCAGCATCGTATCCAGAATACACATTTGAAGAACACCCTAATTACAGAAATCACATCCAGTCAATATAACACATATTAGTAATTTCCTGATCCTTTGTAGAGTGAATATAATTCTGAAAGTTTAATTAAGAGAAAAACTATGTTCAGGTGTGAATTTTAATGCAAAAGGCACTCAGCTTCCATGCAAATACCCAGAGTGGTGCTCTGGTGTGGGTCAGCCACAGAAGGGAACCCATTTTTAACTGCTGGGCACAACATTATTTTTGTCACCGTGTGTAATTCAAGGAGAAAGCAATAGATAGGCCATATTTGCAAACTGTGTCCCTCAGTGGGTTAAATTAAGGGGACAGAGTATATTAGTTGGAGATTTGGTTTAAAAACTGCTATTATAAAAATAGAAGGAAGGTTTGGAGCCTGTGTTATAAAATAACTAGCCAGCATACATTCTGTAGATATTTTTGTAGTCTTCCCCTTCACTTCGACCTTAGACACAGCCCATTGATGAATGCTTAAAATCAAAGAAATAACTGGATCATGAACTAATCTCTCTGGTCCCTACAACCATGATAACAATTGCATCAGCCAGCCTCCGAACAAAACACTCAATTGAAAGGAAATCAGGTGTTTTAATTGCTTACAATGCCTCCTTTTAAAAGTTACAAAGACCACATATTTATAATTCATATGAAATGTCCAGAATGGACACATCCAAGAGGCAGAAAGTAGATTAGTAGTTGCCAGGGGCTGGGATGGGGAGAAAATGGGGAGTGGTTGATAATGGGTTTGAGGTTGGTTTTTTTTTTTTTTGAGATCATGAAAATGCTCTGGAGTTAAAGAAGGGTGATGGTTGCCCTGACAAGGTGGTTCAGTTAGTGAGGCTCAGTTGGTTGAGGCATCACCCCATACATCAAAAGGTGGCGGGTTCGATTCCCAGTCAAGGCACATACATAGGTTTCGGGTTCAATTCCCAGTTGGGGCGTGTACAGGATCAACTGATGTTTTTCTCACATTGATGTTTCTCTCTTCCTCCCTCCCTAATTCTTCCTCCCTCTTTTCTTTCCTCCCTCTCTTCCTTCCTCACTCTCTATGCTTATAACATATCCTTGGGTGAGGATAAAATAATAATAATAAAAATAAATAAAGAGGGGTGATGGTTGTACAACTTTGTGAATATGATTAAAAAAACACTGAATTACACACTTTTAAAGGAGTAAATTTTATAGTATGTGAATTATATTTCAATAAGAAAGTCACAAGACTTCAAAAACTGTTGGAAATACCATACTTTACCTTTTAGCATTAAATCATAGAGTGCCAAAGCAGGAAAGGGGTATGTGGGGAGGGTGGGGGGTAGAGAGGGTGTGTGACTAGTTCTTCAAGGGACCTTCAAGTCTAACTGTCACATTTGAAAAATAAAGAAACTGGCTTCTGAAGAGGGAAGTGACTTACCTAAGGTCATATGCAGGCAGTCCAGGGGGAAGCAAGACTGGAACCCAAGTCTCTGGACACTATCACTGTGCTGCCTACACTGCTGGTTGCTAGTTAAGCATCTCAGCTGTAACTAATTTGAATTATTTAAAATGAGGAACACGTGGTTCAAATGAGATGCTTTTATTTTTTTCTAACGAAATCATGCACTTTTCTTATAAATAGCAAATTCTCTGTAAAGGAGTAAATAAATTTGTTGTGGTAAATTTACCCAGTCCAAACGGAGATTTACCTGTACAAGTCCCTTGAGGAAAGTGCCACATTAACAGACCAAGGGAGCCCTCTACCTGTGTGTTTGGAGTATAGATTTCACTGGCAAAATCCTTGACCTGGAAAGCTAACAATAAATCGAGACCAGGTATCCTAGTCCTTTGTCCACCTTGGTTGGCTTCTACCATTATTTGTGAGAAAATGAATGCTGTCTGAAGAAGTATTTGTGTGAGCACTAGGATACATGGAGGAAAATCTGCAAAAAGTTGCTTTTCTGTGAATAAACAAGAACAATTAACAGCAGAAATAAAAGACCCAAATATATATGTATACACACATATATTTTTTTCCAGTGAGAATTGCATGAAAATAATTCTTTTCAAAGAACTTTATACTCCTCTGAGAATACAAAATGTTAGTAGGCATGTTTGTTCATCCAGCATGAAAGTTTCATTGTTTCTTTGTTTCAGCCAAAGATAGGGTTGAATGTAAAAATCATGCAGGATCCTGAAAACATCCACCACAGAGCTGCTCTAAATGCGAACTATGGAATCAGTTTGCCATATAATAATCAGAGAAAAGCATGTGTAAGTAATGAGTTGTTTTAATGAGCTCTTAATTTTTTTTAAGGAATTAAAAGTCATACATTATAATGTAGATTTTAAGTAAAGATTTTGATCCTTTTGTCCTTAGAATTTAATGGAGTGGTTTTCATTCTGTTTATAATTAGAAATGATTAAAACATGCAGACCTATTTTTAAAGGATCCATTGGTAGCTCATTCAAATTTCTCTATTTTATTTGATGTTCCTAAATAATCTAGTACCATAATTTTAACAAGGATAAGGGAATTTAACAACAAAGAGAATTAACAGAGAAATTTTAAATGTTTTATATCTTTGATAATAGGCTTACTACCAGAAAAATCAAAAGGAAACCACAGCATAGTATCGGCTTCAATGGTGTATACTCATACAATACACAAAATTTAAGAAAATTATTCTAAATCTGAAGCAAGCAGGGGTTAGTTTTTTAGGTCAGCAAAATGATGAAAGGGAAAATAATCAAGCAGTGATTGCATTGAGGGATCTCAGAATCTGTGCCTATTTTTGCCACTGACTTTCTGGTAAGTGTCCCAAAGCAAGGATTGGATTCTTTCTGTATTGTGGGTTTTCTTAGGAGAATTAAGAGTAATGCTTCACTTAATTGGGAAATTCTTTCATTTGCGATCATTTCTTATACTGTAAACAATTACCGAGGTGACATTTATACATTTAAAAATACATTTTTAACCTTTGGCTTTTCTCAAAGCTCTTAAATGTATACTTTGATGAAATCAAAACTAAAAACTAGATTAATTTTAGAATTAAATTGCAAAACCATTTCTAACCAGCATAATAGCCTCTTAGATTAATCTTCCAAATGACCTGCATAGACATTTTCAACTGCCTACTTCATTCACATAACCCTGTAATATATTTTTTAGTTTCTTTATATGTGCTTTATGTTATTCTAACAGGTTTGGTTTAAGAGCAGTTTATCACAGAAATACTTGTACAGCCTAAGAAATAACCAGAAAGTTAGATATTTTTATTCCTGCTGAAACTTTATTTAAAACGTCACTGTGAATAATGTGAAAGGATTTTTATCTGCTCCCATGAGCCCAAAGCACTTGAAATAAAAATATTATTTCTCTGGCTGTAGAGACAGAAGCAGATTTCTCTCTCGTTGTTGGTTTCCCCCTTCAGTCTAGAATCAACATTGGCTTAGCTGGCGGAGTGCTGAGCCTTTGCAGCCCAAGGCGACGGCTGCATCTCTGCAAACTTTTCCTGATGAGTACTGAGGTTTAAAAAGGCATAACTCCAGATTTACAGGGGATTATGCTTTGCTTTAATGAATCTGAGTGAAGATTCAGACATCAATAGGAATTCAAAATTATATCCAAAATTTGGGGTAGAATCTTAGTCATTTATTATATATTTTTTCTATTTTCCAAATAGGCTACGTGCCTTAGATATTGTGCCCATGTCTGGTGAACACAGAGGACTTGTCTGACATACAGATAATGTATGCTCATTTATTGTATTGAAAATCCCTTTTTTCCATAAAACTTGACTCCATAAAACTCTGCACCAGAGCACGTTAAAATGTATATACATTAGGTACATTTTACCCAAATTGACTATTGGCATTTCAGTCAAAATAGTTGACCCTATCTTTTTACGTTGAAATATGTAGATATGACGGCACTAACTGAAAACAGTATTTTCATTTTGGATCTATAAAACAGAAGCATTATGCAAAAAGCCCTGTGAAAGAAATACTCAGGTGTTTGGTTTTAAACAACCATGTAGAGCACTTGGGAATAAATACAGCTGTGATTTACCACTTATAAAACTGTTTCTGAGAGCACTTACCCAAACTGAAGCGGTGTGTCTAGTGCTGTGATGTATAGTGAGTTAGAAAAGCAGCATCAAGGCTAATGGCTCGTTAGAACTACTCGAAACACTCAAAGGGCATTATTATTTGGCTGCTGAGGGCCATGTGTTTCCCTACTTTTGAAACTTAAACAGCTTGTCAAAAGCCTGTAAATAATCTTGGACGTTTTCTGATGGAGCAAACTTGAATATATAGCCAATTTACATTATTAGTTCTTAGAAACTGGTATTTTCTACATTTTGTGAAGAGGTGTATCCTTCCTGATAATAGGGGCTAGTGTAAAGATTTTAGTGTGTTGAAAACACATATGCCCCAGACGTACATATACACGTGCACCCCACAAAACTGCCCTCTGTATGTTATATCCTGTTAACTCTATTAAAATCAATTTACAACAAAATGTTAAAAGTGAAACTTACTGATGATTTTTCCAATATCTTAAGTGTGTCAAATAATGATAATAATAATGGTAATTCACTGATGATTTTTCCAAAATCTTAAGTGTGCCAAATAATGATAATAATAATGGTAATGAACCCTCTGGCAGGTTTTTGAGAAGAGGCTTGTAGACATGGGAAGACAAGAAGAAATCTCTGATATGTTTGTACCAATTGACATTTAGTTCCAGTTAGACATTCCAATGCAACACATTAAAAGATACACAGAAAATTTGACTTTGATTTATTTTTTTTACATAAAGATGGTTTCTTAAAAAGCTTGAAACATGGATCTGTTAACATGAATTTTAAAAGAACGATTATGAATGCATAACAAAATAGCCAAACAAAACATTGCTTTGAATTGCTGCACAAATAACTCTGATTATAACTGTTATGACCTAGAAAAGAATCATAAAAACATTTTTCTTTTTGGCAAGATATGAGTTGCTGTAGAATTATACTAGTTCTTTGGTTCCACTTTCCAAATAAATAAATATATAATGCAATGTAAACTTAGAATCCTTTATTTATTCATGAGGTTGAATTTAATACCATTATGATTTCTAGATTTTATGAGTCATATGTTATGCAGTGTTTTTCACTAACTTAGTTGGGTAGCAACCACACTTCACAAATCATGGTTTCATTCTTTACTGTTTCACTTGGGGTGTACATAGAGATCTCTCTCACTGAAAGCACATTCATTTCTGAAATGATAAAGTAATGGAAAGTGAGGCAATTGCGTTAATGTCAAATGATTAGAAGAAGCACCAGAAGTAAGGGGCGGGGGTAAGGAGGAGGGGGTTGGGAAAGAAGGGCTATTTCAAAACATGATTGTGTTTTAAGCCCATGCATATGGCCACAATTACAGTCACAACATAATTTGGCAACGGTAGCAGAATTAGATTTAAACAAATTGATGTTACACTGCAGTAATTCAGAATGAGCTTGTTGCATTTATAAACCATAACAAGAAGCAGAGTGAATTAATAAACCCTTCTTGTCACTAAAAATAAAAAAGGGAATAATTGCTGAGATGGAGTTAGCTTAACAGATGACTATAGTCAGCATCCTTTCAGCCTAGATATGGGAAAGTGAAGGTCACCCCCATCTCAGATGACAAAGAGGGAACATTTTGTTGGTAAACAAATTAATCTTTTGAAAGGTCGCCATTTGTTTTAAGTTTTTATCCAGTTCTTGTCATCTGGAATTGGAGATTGACTGTCATCTCACTAGGCAGGGGTGCCGTGGAAGCAGACAAAGCTGCTTCTGTACATATCAGCACTCCTTGACAAAACTCGCCGCCTGATTGGGATGCTATGGGCTGCTGGTTTACAGCTGTCTCCGGACAAGAGTGGAGGCCCACCCCTGAATTCCAATAAGATGGGCCTGCATATTCCGCCTGCTGTAAGCTGGCCCTCTGCCCACAAGTAAAATGTATTGTAGTTCAAGCCAGCAATTATCTCTTTTACTTCCTTCTGTGCTGCTTCTGTTCCCTTTTTCCAAAAACAGATGTGGGTATTCACTCAAGTTCGGCATCTATTCTTTCTCACACCTGCCGGGGCAGCGTTTTGACAGAGGTAGAGTTTAAGGGAGCCAGCAGACAACGATCAGGTGTAATTTCTTTGAGAGCAGTTTACAAAGAAAATGTTGATTTTTCAGGAAACGTGGAGTCAGCATTTTGGCCCCCCTCCCTTTTCCCAGAAGCATTTGGTAAATTAAATTAGTTAAACAAAAGGAAACGGCTTTAAAGACGTTCAGAAATGCCATATCCTATTCATGACACACAACCATGACCCAGGGCCTGCACGGCATTGGCACTCCGGTCACTTCACTCGCTTCGGGTTGCTTGGAAAGAGTCTCAAGAAAACAATGACTTCTCATGCTCTCGACTCATAGCCTGTACAATGTATACGGTGGTGGCGGTGCCGGCAGGAGTAGTGGTGTGTTGCCTTTGTATGTTGTCGCTTTTTCGAATTGTAGTTCTGCATTGGTTCAGAGTGCTGAGGAAGCTGAAGACAGGGACATGGCTGTTGTCATGGCTGGTGTCAAGGCTCTCTCACCAGAGCCCATTACTCCGGGAGTGGATGTCCACAGAGAATCTAGCTGTAGTGAGTTCTCCGTCTTCTTGAGGATGCTGTGCATCTTTCGTTTCTGAGCCGAGATCCTGCACGCCCTCCAACCCTATGCTGAACTGCAAGCATTTTTTTTTTTTTTTTTTAGCTCTGGGCATAGTGATTCTGGGTCAGAATGCCTGGTGTGAATTCTTACTAGACTGGGGGTCTCCTAGAAACAACCTCCATTTTCTCCTGTGTAAAATGTCCATAATTAGACCATCTCATGGGATTGTATTGAGATTTTAATGAAGATGATTCAGAGATCCTGGTACAAATAAGTGCTCTGAAAATATTAGTTATGACTATTGGCAATTCTCACATGTTGCATTGCACCATGTTTTATACTGTCATCCAAAGCTTACGTTACTGTAGAAATTGGGAGAGAGAAGCAGTATATACTGAGGTGCCTTCCAGTTTTGAAGAGAAGTAGCAGTTCTTCTGGTCAGGTAGCCCTGGTTGCACAGGGCATCCTCCCGCTGGGCCAGCCGATCACGTTTACCTCGCGAATCGCTGGTGCCCCTGCATTCCCACAACAGCCGTGCCACTGACTAGTGTTTCTAGAAGCAAGTTACCTACCTTGTTCATTCTTATTTTCCTCATTTATGAAATGGGGAGGCTAGATGGGAAGCAGTCTGGTGTGGTGGGAAGGAATTTGAGTCGAGTGGATAGGAGGGTGGGTCCTATCTGCCATTTTCCAGATGTGTACCACTAAGTAAGCAAATTAATCTTGGGTCCTCAGTTTCCTCTTCTGTAAAGTCAGGATAATGGTGGCTATTAGGCAAGGGTGTCATGGGGATTATAGACAATACAGTCGTCCCTCGTTTATCACGGTTAATCCGTTCCAGACTCTAGCGGTTGCACCTGGCATTGAAGGATTCCTGGGGTGCTCGAATACAGAGACCTACAGTCCATACGTACAGTAATTGTAATTGTAATACAGGGGTGTATAATTGACTCAGACAACCGAGCGCGCGCTGTATCATTTTCACTGTCTCGATCAACCTTTTAATGACTATATTTGAAAAAACTGAGATACAGTGAAGCCGCAAAAGTCAAAGTGTGAAGTGGCAAGGGACGACTGTATATTAAAACTTCTGGTGCCTAATAAGGTTCTTGCCTTTCTGAAAAATGAATTAATATTAAAAAGCTCATACTTCCTTCTCCCTTGTTCTAAAACCTATATGTCCAGAAAAGGATCTGATTTGGCTCCTTTCACACTCCAGTATAAATGAGTGATAGGCTTCATGCTATGGTTTTCAAATTGTTACAGAGAACTCCAGGAAGGCTGCATTTAATCCATATTTCATTCTTATGATAAACACTTTTAAGTGTAATAAACAACAATGCATACAGCCCTGGCCGGTTTGGCTCAGCGGTTGGGGCATTGGCCTGCGGTCCTGAGAGACCCGGGTTCGGTTCCTGCTGGGGGCATGTGCCTCAGTTGCAGTTTGTCCTGGCCCTGGTTGGGTTGTGCGGGTGGCAGCCACTCGATGTGTCCCTTCCACTGTGTCCCTTTCACGTCGATGTTTCTCTCTCTCCCTCCCACTCTATCTGAACCACAAAATGGAAAAATATCCTCAGGTGAGGATGAAAAAAGAAAAAAGAACAATGCATACATACTTACATCAGATGCCATTAGTGAGGTAATTTGTGCTGACCGGTTCACTTTGTGAGCACATGGGCATGTGCGTGTGCATATGTGCATTTGTGTTCATGCACACGTACACATGAACTTTTTTTTATCCTCTCTTGAGGACATTTTTGCATTTATCTTCAGATGGAGCGGGAGGTAGAGAGGGAGGAAGAGAGAGAGAGAGAGAAACATCTATGTGAGAGAGACACATTGGCTGGTTGCCACCCACATGACCCCAACCGGGGCCGGGGACAAACTGCAACCAAGGTACGTGCCTTTAGCGGGAAGTGAACCTGACGCTCTAACCACTGAGCAAACCGGCCAGGGCCACTTGAACTTATAAAGGTGTTTTTATGAGATAGGGTATATCTTTGTACTACTCATGTTTTGAAAATTAGTCATCCTCTCTTATTAACTATAATAATCATACAAATAAGTAAAGATTAAATGAGTTAATACATGTCAAGGTCTTAAAGCAGTACCTAGTCCCCAGTAAGCATTCAATAAATGGTAACTGGTTTTAGTATTACAACACGTGCGTGTTGCTATTCATTTAAAAGCCAGGCAAGTTGTCTGGTGCATTATTTGGCACAGCACAAAATAGTCAGTTGTACAATCACAGTAGTACATGTTGCATCATGATAATATAGCATTATAGATTGTTTCATTGCTCATTTCAGATTTGGGTTGGCTCTTACCTGGTTTGAAATGTGCTGAACAATCTTCATTTGGCATCGCAGGGTTGCATTGTTACTTCACAACTGCAGATAAAAGACCAGGAATGAAGCATCATCTTAAAATTTGGACTCAATATACAAAACAAAATAGGTTGTTCTGAAACTGAATATCTGAAAGAGAAAGGTGCTGAGATATCTGAAAAGAATTTAAATGGGACATGATGGAACATCTTATAATGTTACAAGACACATTTGAAAAGTGCTTTTGGCCCTGGCCGGTTTGGCTCAGCGGTTAGAGCATCGGCCTGCGGTCTGGAGAGACCCGGGTTCGGTTACCACTAGGGGCATGTACCCCGGTTGCAGTTTGTCCCCGGCCCTGGTTGGTTGTGCGGGTGGCAGCCACTCGATGTGTCCCTTTCACGTCGATGTTTCTCTCTCTCTCTCTCTCTCTCTGTTCCTCTCTCTCCCTCCCACTCTACCTGAACAAAAGATGGAAAAATGTCCTCGGGTGAGGATGATAAAAAAGAAAAAAGAAAAGTGCTTTTGGTCATTCAGCTCTTCAATAATAGCATTTATTTTATTTTTTTAAATATGTTTTTATTGATTTTTAGAGAGAGAGAGAAAGGGAGAGGGAGAGAGAGAGAGAGAAACATCAGTGTGAGAGAGAAACTTCGATCAGTATGTGCCCTAACCAGGGATTGAGCCTGCAACTTGGGCTTGTGCCCTGACCGGGAATCGAACCAGCAAACTTTCTGTGCACGTGACAATTCCCAACCAACTGAGCCACACTGGGCAGGGCAATAACAGCATTTATTAAGTGTGTCAGACACCACGCTATGTGCTTTATATACACTATCTTATTTACCCCTTATGCCTATAAAGTAAATGCAGTTTTCATAACCATTTGATACTTGAGGAAACTAAGACTAAGATTTAGCTACTTGCCTAAGGTTATGAAGTAAGTAAGGGAGTCAGGATTCAAATTATTTATTAATTATTTGTCAAATCTCCCCAAATTGAATACTTAACAACTAATTCTTAATTATTAAGGAACATGAGTAGTAGTTAGATATTGTGATTCTATT